GCTACAGTGCAGTGCCTTGTTATGTAGTTATATATTGCACATGTAACTATTACATTGATTTTCCAGATATTGTTTGGGTGTCAAATGTCTTGGTTGGGCCACACTTTCCTTCAATGGCAATAGAGGACACCACTCCTTTGGCTAACTGCTGCTGTCTCTGGGCCTTCCTGCCTTGGTTTGTGGCAGCATCATGCCAATGTTTGTCTTTGTATTTGAACTGTCTTATTTTTTCCTTATAAAAAATAAGGAAAAAATAAGACATATAAAAAATATGTCTGTCTCTGTGTATGTCCAAAAGACCTTGTTTCTCTTGTGAAGATACCAGTTACTGGATTTGGGGTTCATCTTAAATCTAGGATGTTTCTGGGTTGAGCTCTTCAGTGACTTGTCTGCTGATATTCTGCTCAGAATAGGACACATTCTGGAGTCTATACGTTCATACATGGATTTCAAAACACTACTCACTTCACCACAATAGGTTTAAGAGATCACACGCAGCTGAGGAAAGAATAAAAACCTGGGAGTGGACAGAGAAATAACTCATGGGCTGGAACACGTTTCCCACGAGAGAGGCCCAGATCCAAGCCACACGTCCCAGGATCCCAAGCAATAGTGAGAGCACAGAGCTGGAAGTGCCCCTGAGCACTGCTGGGTGTGGTCCAAGAAACAGGGGTGTGTGTGTGGGGGGGGAAAGATTACTCTTAAATCAGGATTCTGTGCTTCCGTGCAAAGGAGAATGCGAATTCTAAGCAGGTAAGAAATACTGGTAAGAACTTATAAATTGATGGCATCTTTGGAAAGCTGTTAAATTTCCACAGGCGACTGTCAACTGCATCGCACCAGCCAGAACTTGCATTTCTATGGACTGCAACTATTTGCATTATGTTTCCTTCAAGTTCAAGTATTTCTTCAGAGTACAAAAAGTGTATCTAAAGACAAAAATAAACCATACTCTAAAGGACCAGTGAATCCCCAGAAGCCCCAGCATTTCATTGACAGGGTTTTCTATTTCAGTCTTCCACAAGATGTTCCATAATCAAATAAGATTCATTTCAGTCTCAAATAATCACACACAAAACCACTGGGCTTTAATGCAGTTGAAATATACCTTTGGTCCTCTGAGGTTTGATGGCATGTTGATTTATATGCCATCAAACCTCAAACCTCAGAGGACCAAAGGTATATGTCACCTGGTATATGACAATCAAGAAGCAAAGGGCCTAGGGCAATGGCTTCCTAGCTTAGAACACTTGTTTTGCCTTAGTTCAATCCCTCACACATGCTGAACTTGATCCCAGCAGCCAGGTGTAAACACAACAAAGAAATGCAATCCCTGGTGAGCAAGCACAGGAACTATGATTCCTGAAGCTAGGACCACAAAGTATGACCCTACTGTACCACTGAGGTAAGGAAGGGCCAACCTTGGTGATACCAAGGCAGAGCGAGTACTGCATCCATGATGCTGCAGGCCCACGGGAACACCACAGCCAGGCATGGACGACAGATCGTGCCACCACTGTAACAACAATGAAGAGGAAGGGGAGAAGGATAAAATAAAAATAAAACTCAATGTTTTTTTTTTCTGGAATAATATCAAAATTACACAAATTTCTTTTAGATTCAAAAGCAAATTTTTTTTCCTTTTTTGGTCACACCCGGTGATGCGCAGGGCTGACTCCTGGCTCTGCATGCAGGCATACTCCTGGCGGTGCTCGAGGGACCATATGGGTTGCCAGAGATTGAACCTGGGTCGGCCACACGCAAAGCAAACACCTCCCTTGCTGTATTATCGCTCCAACCCCACAAAAGCAAACTGAAACTAAATTTTAGCTTTTTGAGAAATAGAATCACCAACAATTTTTTAAATTTGTGGTGTTTAAATCCTCCAAATTTTGTCAAAAAAAAAATGGCACTGGAGGGTGGTAGAGCATGTAGGGCATTGGCCTTGCATGTGGCCGACCCAGGTTTGATCCCCAGCATCCCATGTTATTCCCTAAGCCTGCCAGGAGTAAACCCATGGGAATTGCTGGGTGTGGCCTCCAAACAAACCACCACCAAGGCCAAAGCAATAATACAGCAGGTAGGGTGCTTGCCTTTCATGTTGCTGACCGGGTCCGCTGGCACCACATAAGGGTCGCTGCCAGGAGTAAGCTCTGAGCACTGCTGGGTGTGGCCCCCAAGCAAAACAACACTGCCACAATATAAATCCTTCCAATAGCATTACTATTTTTTTTCCCTTGAAATGCCTAAAGTTAAAGCTTTTCAACACAAAATACAACACACTTGGTCAATCCATCCCATGAAAGGTACATACTAGCAAGAGTTCCTGATATGCCTTAGAAAATTCAATATTTATCTTAAGGAAACTATGACAAATTATCCTTAATGTATGAAAAAGGATGATGGGGCTGGGTAGTGCATCAAGGAGGGCTTCTGACTTGCATGCTGCTGACCTGAGTTTGATACTTCCCAGAGTCCTTCCCAGAGTGATGCCTGAGTTCAGAGCAGGACTACGTCCTGAGCACTGCTGCGTGTGGCCCTCAAAAAACCAACAACACCTCTGGGGGTAAAGGTAAAGGTAAAGGCCCTCCCGTTGATCGTCGATTTGCTCGAGCGGGCCCAGTAACGTCTCCGTTGGAGACTTTGTTGTTACTGTGTCTGGCATATCTAATACTCTCGGTAGCTTGCCGGGCTCTCCGAGAGGGGCGGAGGAATCGAACTCGGGTCGGCCATGTTGGCCGCTTGTAAGGCGACAGCTCTACCCGCTGTGCTATCACTCCAGCCCTGGGGTAGGGACCTGAAAGATAATGTAGAGGTTAAGGTGCTTGCTTTTCACCTTATCAATCCTGATATAAATCTCTGGTATCACACATGGTCCACCAGCATTACCAAGGACCTCTCCTGAGTAAACCCAGAAACAGCGCCAGAAAACTGCTGGGTGTGTCCCCTCCCCCACACGTTTGAGGTACTATTAGGAGGGAAAAAAAATTAATGCAAAGAAAATCTCCCCAAAAAGATAAAAAGAAAAATTCCAAGTTCCCGCATTAATGCTTTGAAACAAAACCGCAAAAAGTCAGTTCCTTATCTGGGTTACATCTCAGAGTTAAAAACTTAAATCTACTTTATTTTTTTGCTTTTTGGGTCACACCCGGTGATGCTCAGGAGTTACTCCTGGTACTGCATTCAGGAATTACCCCTGGCGGTGCTCAGGGGACCATATGCAATGCTGGGAATCGAACTGGGGGCAGCCGTTTGCAAGGCTATTGCCCTACCTGCTGTTCTATCACTTCAGCCCTTAGATCCACATAAACAATGAAAATCTCAGCACTAGCTTTTGGTTTGGTAAGCTCTGGTTTCACTATAAAAAATCTAAAGCTCCCACGAGCGGCTCTCCGGCACAGTCATGGCTCCAGAAGCACAAGGACTTAATGCAGAGCCCAGCAGCTTGCAGCAGAAAAGTGAACGGACTATGCGTTAATCCACACCACCATGCCTGCATGGAGGGGAAAGGGTGTTGGTCCCTTCCGCCTTCTCCCTCTGGAAAGAAAGATGGCAGCCGCTTGGGAGCCTTGTGGAAAGCCAGGTATGAGCCGGTGGTGATGGGGCAACTAAAACCTCATGGGAAGGGGGACGTTCCCGGCTGGTCCTTCACGCCCTACTGAGGCCACCAGTTGCCCCCCACGAGCGGCTCTCCGGCACGGCCATGGCTCCAGAGCACAGAAACCAATCTCTTAATTATCTGACTCTCAGTAGAAATACTTCCAGGGTTAATAAGTAAAATAGCAGAAATCCAAAACATTTAATTCTTGAACCCAGCTGTAGAAAGCAAATCATTTCTCATTTCACAACGCTTTTTCAGCATGTCTGATTGGGGGGGGGGGGGGGTAAACTCTAAATAATAATGGTGCATTTTTTATCGAAACAATGAATCTAGTCAAAGTAGAGTGTTAACTAGAATTCATCTGCCTCACAGGCATTGGGAGGGGCAGGGGGTGGGGGTTTATTGGGGTTCTTCATGGTGAAAAAGAAGTATTGGTAAAGGGAAAGGTGTTTGATATTTGCATGACCGAGACCTAAACCTGAAAGCTTTGTAACTTTTCCCACAGTGAGTCAATAAATAAATAATAAAAAAAAAAATCTAAAGCTCAGGGCTAGAGCCTTGAACCAAGCAGAGCCAAGTTAGATCCCTACACCCCATGTGGTCCCCGGTGCACTGTCAGCTATGTCCCCGCCTTCCCCCGCATTCTCTCACCCGCCAAATCTATAGCTGAGAGCCAGAGGTTGTTTGGTGGTAAGAGTGTTTGCATTTGGGAGACCTTGGCTTTGACCCCCAGCACAATTAATAGATGCAGCAGTGGGGAGCCAAAGGAGGTAACATGTTTTGCATCCAGAAGGCCAGATTCTGAATGAATGTTATGATCCCCGAGGACCACTGGATGTGGACCAAAACATTTGAAATCTGTGTTGGATATATGGCTCAGCTATGCTCCTGCCTAGCATGTAAGGTCCTGGGTTCAATTACTGGTACTCCCAAAAAACTAAAACAAGAAGTCTACAGCAAATAAAAAATTTTATATTATTTAGAAAGTCGTAATATTAATTCTTAAGAACATGTTGCTAAACAGAACATCTCCAAGAACCTCACAAAAGTTAAGAGAACTCTAACTAGGCAAATACGTCTATCCTAAGGCCTAAAATGATTAAGTGTCCCAATATAATTGCTTCAAATGCTGATTAGCTAGTCCCATCCCTATCTTTGCACTAAATGAAAAATGTACTTACCTGGTTCACCGAAAACTACTGATTAAAAAAATTCTCCATCATGGATATTTCAAATACCAATAGCTGTTTTTTAGTCTGTAACAAAACTCTGAATTGTAAGTGAACAAGTGGCTCTGTACTCTTCTCCACAGTGCAGCCCACTTAAAACAGAATCATTAGAACTGAGCCCTCAATGTGAAAGGAGAGTATCAATAAGAATCTGATCATTGAGATTCATGTAATAAAAACACTATTTATACATATATATTTACTTTGCTTTAAAAGTTGTTATTTACATAAAGACGTGGAGAAAAAAACTTTAATTAGCTTTAAAATTAAATGTAAAAGCTATAATGAGGAATGGAAATTCAGCTTTTGCAACAGACACCATTGTGGCAGTCAACGTTTGCCAAGGAGTGAGTTTATCCAACTTTAGGGGTAAAAAGGAAAAAGAGATAAACACATCGAACACATTACAGTTTGATGTAAACTGTTGTTACAGTTTTCACAAACAGATTTAGCCAGTAATGTAAATGCTAAGAATCTGCCAATTTTTAAAATCCCTTAAATTTAGTTATTTTTTGATAACCAATCCACAATTTCAACTAACAAGACAGTGTACAAAAACGTAATTTTTAAAGGGCAATATTGTTTCAAGTTAGTGAGACTGTTGGCTATGTCAAAATATTTTCTAGAACAAATGTGGCAAATTATAGAACAGATCTTGAGAATATTAGACAAAGCCTATGTGACACATACACAATCATATTAAAGACTTTGTACACTGTTATATACTTAGCCTTATTTCCCAAAGAATAACAAGTGTACATTCTCTCTAGAAACTAAAGATGCACTATTGCACACAACAAAGGTATCATAGGTATGAGCTGGAGGATTAAAGGTTCACATCATTCAAATCCTTGGAATTTCAATGCCAGCAAATAAGAGTTAAGGAGGGCTTTCCAGTTATCACATGCATACATATTTGAATACAGGCACAGAAATTTGTCATTTTTATTTGAATAACAAAGGGTCTCAAAATAATACTGAAAAATAAATCCTAGCTTATCACTCCTGTAAAAAAAAATTTAGCACGCTTTTCACAAAAGATTTATGTAAAAGAGAAGAAAATACACATAATTTTATAAAGTCTTAAACTTTATTCCCTACCAGAGACATTGTCTTTTGTTTTCTTTCCGTTTTTCTACAATTTTCAACCTGTATCTGTTTTACTATTGCTTTAATCTGCTAAAGACAGTAAATGATTGCTCTCCTAAATCTAAGGATTATGTAGTTTTAGTATAAATATATAGCACATATTTTCGTAAATTTCAATAAAACCGATTAAGCATGCCTTTTTTTTTAAAAGTCCATGCTCCTTCCTCTGTTTATAAAATCTGATTTAGTGATCAAAAATTATTGGCTGTCATTCTTCAGTTCCAAGAGTTTTCCTTCTGAACTGTCACTCACTTTTTAACATAATAACAAGCAATAGAAAAATGAAATAATCTTAATCTTAAATTCTTTCCTTTTGATGTTATAAAATAATGTGAACTTTAATAAAAAATGAAACAAACACACCCCAAACTCAATACATTCAAATGAGCTGTGTGATCTTGGAAGGATGCAGCGCATTCTGACTAGGCTACCACTACTCAAAATACTTGTTGAGATTGCCTTCAAAACCAGATGCATACTTTTTATCATTACCCCAACAACATTTAATTTGGGGACACTGTCATAAGTCATTTGGTACCAAATGATAGCCATAAAACAAGCTGCGTAATATTAAAAAAAAATCTGTAATCAATAGTATTTGTGACTCAATTTAGCTCTAAATGCAATTCTAAAATAGAGAAAAGGGTTTTGAGCACTGGCAGACTGCTGTAATTGTGAAATAATCTTCCAGCATGATCACCATAGGGCAACATTCATTTAGCTGTCTACGTTCTGTCATATTTGTTTAAAGTGAACATTCGGAGAGTTAGAATTTTTTTCTTTTAAAAAGGAATATCATTCCTAAAAAGAAAAGAACCCCAACAACAAATGAAGAATCTTATTCCTTTAGAGCATCACTGTCAAAGTATTATGCAAGTGTTTTGCTAGAAACTAGTTATCCTCTCTATAGCAATAAAGACTACTTTTTAAGACTTGAAAGCAAATAATTTATCTGCTCCCAGGCTTTGTAAAAGCATTAACTGAAGATAAAATAATTAGAAACTTCTATGGTACTAAATAACAAAAGTCTAAAATGTAATAAAACACATCAAGAACCAAACTACAATTTCTGAGCTGCACTGTTTATTTTGCTGCTTGAAACCTAAGTGACAGTATGCCACTATAATTATGGGGTTTCTTCTAAACCTTTACTACACTGCAGGTACAGAAATATACGGACACATTTTTGGAGAATTGACATTTTGCAAAATGCAGCAAACATTTTAATTTATACATGAGAAAAGGAAATGTTCAAAAGAATATGCATTTCAAGTTATTGCAGGTTATTTTTGAGAGAATTTCTGCAGGTAAAACATGTTTAATTTTAACCAACAGTAGCGTGTCAGTGTATTTAAAATCATGACAAAAATCTTCTCTCTGGTCATGTTGCCCATGACAAATTACTATGATGTTGTATGTTTAGGGCAAGATGTCAATATGCATAAATCCCATGGCATTTTGGTTTTCTTCTGGAGATTAAAGCTGTTTTTCTTGGGATAAATGCAGCAGCAAAACACAAACCAGTTGATCAAAAAAAGCACTTCTGCCATAACTCCAATAATTTTCAGGACACATCAACCGACAGTAGTTTTGCCATTCCCAGTTCTTTAAAGGATTACATCTCTGCACTGTTGCCTTAAGTACGTCTGTAAAAGCTTGTTCTCTGTTAGGCCAGTTTGCTGACTACAGCCTGGTTGAGAGAATTTAGTTGGTTGGTCCATTTATCTAGTGCAGTATACCGGGCACCGCCCCTCTTCTGATGATCCAGTTCAAGGAGTTGGTTGACTTGATCAATTCTGCCATGAATAGTGCTGGAAGTAAATAAATAAGAGGACATGTCTACAAACCATTTTCGCCTGGACATGTTCATGAAATATTCACATTATTAATAAATGCAAGAAAAAGACTGCCTATTTTTACTGAGTTTGGCATTAATATCTTTTCTCTGAAACCAGATACAATCGAGCTACAACTATGTTTCAACAATTTCACTGAAGAACTAAAGGGCAAAAAGTCAATCAACCCAGAGACACAGCAGAGTTGAGTTCCAGAGGGCACCACAGCGCTGGAGATCTCTCTGGGCCTCACACCAAGTCGGTATCCCCCAGGTGAACCAGATGGAGCAGGTGCAGATGGAATTCCTACTCCAGATGGAATCCTGGCGACCCTGAGCTTAAATAAGCAAGGCCCAGGTATGGGGTTCCAAACTTAAATTTCCAAGCAGCGGAGCTGGGCAGTCTCTTCCAGGCTCCCATCTACTCCTGATGCTGGATGTCACGCCCACAACCTGCCTCCGGGTGCCATCTTGGCCTGCCACCAGCCCGGGGCCAGAAACTCCCTACTGAATCCCCAAATGGATTAGCTTCCTATAGAGATGTCTCTGGAACTCAACCATTTACAATCTTAGAATTTCAGAAGGTCTCATGATATGCAAACTGAGCAATGAAAAATAAGTGATCTAGTGTCTAGGCAGACTTGAATGGTGGTGGGAAAATTCAAGAAAAATATAATGCCCCAAAGTAGAGAGTATCTGAGAGATTGTCTGCCACAGAGGCAGGCTGGGATTGGGGTGGGGTGGGGGGGTTGGGGTTGGGGAGTGGATAGTGAAGTAATACATTAGTGGTGGAAAGTTTGTACTGGTGGACAGATGGGTGTTTGATCATTGTATGGCTGAATCTCAAACATGAAAGCTTTGTAACTGTATCTCATGGTGGTTCAATGGAATAAAAAAAAAACTCAAAGCAAATATAAGTTGTAAAGGCTTAACATACTGCTCTTAAAAATAGAATTTTTAAACTCACGGAACATCATCATACTTAAAATATAAAGTAAAACTCACTAATTTTCTAGGGCCTTTACTTTTTACTAGCTGCAAGTGGGTCAAATACTGATTAAAAAGTTCTTCTAAAAAAACATTTAGAACATTTTTTTGTGTGTGTGCTTAAGAAAAGCTAATAATTCATTGCAGCACTGTTTGCAATAGCTAGAATCTGGAGAAAACCTGAGTGCCCGAGAACAGATGACTGGTTAAAGAAACTTTGGTACATCTACACAATGGAACACTATGTAGCTGTCAGAAAGAATGAAGTCATGAAATTTACACACAAGTGGTTCTATATGGAAAGTATCATGCTAAGTGAAATGAGTCAGAAAGAGAGGGACAGACATAGAAAGATTGCATTCATTCATCTGGGGAACATAAAGTAACAAAACAGGAGACTAACACCTAAGAATGGCTGAGATTAGTACCAGGAATTTTGCTCCATGGCTTGGAGGCCAGCCACACACGCTAGGGAAAAAGGCAGCTCAGATTGGGAAGGGAGCACCAAATAAAGGGTGTTAGGAGGATCCTCCCAGGATGGGAGAAGCATGCTGAAAGTAGACTATAGACCAAACATGATTGCCACTCAATGCCTCTTTTGCAAACCACAACACCCAAAAGGAGAGAGAGAACAGAGGGGAATGCCTGCCACAGAGGCAGGGTGGAATGGGGGGTATGGGGGGTGGGAGGGATACTAGGATCTGTGGTGGTGGGAAATGGGCACTGATGGAGGGATGGGTACTCGATCACTGTATAACTGAAACCCAAGCACAAAAATTTGTAAGTCTACAACTGTACCTCATGGTGTTTCACTAACAAAAATTAAAAAATAAAAAAAAGCTAACATTTATCAAAAACAGAGAATAGTGCAGCAAAAAGAAATTAAGAACTGAATTTCTACATCTGTCACCTTTATCTGTAGTTCTAAACATTTTATGATTTAGAAAGTAGCCAAGTACTTACTTATCCAATATGCACTGCACCAGCAAGCTCTCCACATCAGCTACATCTATGTTTAATTCCTAAGACAAAATACTCATTATAATTCTACGTAATAAACTTACAAAATAAAATTTTATATAATTATTAATTTAAATTTCTATCACTTAACAGGACAGTCAGTGAAAATCTAAAATGAATTTCATTATCACTTAAAAAGATTCTTTGAAAATATAAAAGGCCAAAGGTAAAATTTACACTATACTTTTTAAGTATAATTATCACCATAATTTTATTTGGGCTTTATACTTCACCAGTCTTGCATAGTATTTTTTAAAATTTTCTTTTATACATATAATTTTTCTTCAACACCATAATTTTATTTGGGCTTATACTTCAGTCTTATATAGTTTTTAAAAATTTTCTTTCTTTTACACATAGCTTTTCTTCTCTTACTTTGGTATTTTGGGTTGGAGCACAGTGGGTAGGGCATTTGCCTTGCACTTGGCCAACCCAAGTTCGATTCCTCTGCCCGTCTCGGAGAGCCTGGCAAGCTACCGAGAGTTTCCCGCCCGCACGGCAGAGCCTGGCAAGCTCCCTGTGGCATATTCGATATGACAAAAACAGTAACAAGTCTCACAATGGATACGTTACTGGTGCCCATTACTGGTCACTGAGCAAATTGTTGAACAACTGGAGAACAGTGCTACAGTGTTACAGGTATAGCAATACCAAAGGGTATTTTGGGTCATAAGTGGCAATGCTTGGGGGCTACTCGTGACTATGCTCATGGGTCACTGTACCATCTCTCCAGTCTCAGAAGGAGTATTTTAAGAGAAAAATCTGGAACAAGAGTGATAGCACAGTGGGTAGACCGCTTGCCTTCCATGTGACTGAGCCGGGTTCAACTCCTAGCTCCCCAAATGGTCCCCTGAGCCCTGCCAGGAGTGATCCCTGAGCACAGAGTCAAGATCATAACTCCTTAGTACCACCAGGTGTAGCTCCAAACCCTCTACCACAACCCTCCCATCCCCCACAAAAGAATTCCCTATATATATATATTTTTTATGAACTCAATTTGGGAATAAAACAAAGGCATGTGTTAAATGTTCTTTGAAAAAAAAAATCCCTTTAGATATGCTGTATTCTTAAATGTAGCATTACAAATGCTATCAAATTAAAAATTCTATTTTTATTTTATTTTTTTTTGTTTTGGGACTACAGTGGCATTACTACAGACAGAACTTGGACTTTCTGGATGCAAAACATGCAATCCAGCCCACTGAACTCTCCAGTCCTTAAAATTCTTCCTTAAGTGGAAGGTAGACATGAGGCATTTTAAAACACAAAATATCAACATCAAAATACGTAAATATAAATACCTTAGAAATAAAAGGAATATGAATTCTTGTGTAAGGTTTAATTAATTTTATGAGCACTTGTGTTCTGATGTTTCGCAAAAGCTCTGAAAGAAAAGACAGTAATTAAAAAACACTTGTTTTTAATGATTTCTACATAAATCATACAGTTCTAAATCATCTTGTCCATATCAGCTATCTTCTCAAAATGCATCTGCTTGACAAGGGCATAAAATAATCATTACACAAAAATATCCAACATATATCCGCAATTTGGTTAGAGGCTGCTTCTCTCTTACACTGAATTTTGTCAAGTTTCACAAACACAGTAACAAGTGTCACAATGGAGATGTTACTGGGCTCGCTCAAGCAAATCGACGAATGATGGGAGTGACAGTGACAGTGACTGTATCTAAAATACTCTCTTGCCTTCTCACTGGTCAGTATTTCCCTTGCAGTTAGTAATTTCTTTGGGCATATGAAGGTGCTTGAGGGTTATGCAGTGTAGAATATGGAACAGAGGGCTTCACACATGCATGGCAGATGTACTATTACCTGAGTGATATCGCAGTCCTCGAACAGCTTTTTTTCTTTAGGCCATACCCAATGTTGCTCAGGGCTTATTCTTGGCTCTGAACTCAGGAATCACTCCTGGAGGGCTCAGGGGGCCATACAGAATGCTGGGGATTGAAGCTGGGTTGGCCGTGTGCAAGGCGTATGTCCTATAAGCCAATGGTATATGCCCTATAACCTATAACCTATAATCTGTCACTATCACACTGTCACGGTCATCCCAGTGGTCATCGATTTACTCGAGCGGGCACCAGTAACGTCTCCATTCGTCCCAGCCCTGAGATTTTAGCAGCCTTTCCTTACTTGTCCTTCGCAACGCTGCCGTATTGGAGACTCTTTCAGGGTCAGGGGAATTAAACCCATTATTGTTACTATTTTTGGCATATCGAATACGACACGGGGAGCTTGCCAGGCTCTGCTAAATGCCCTATAACCTACTGCTCCAGCCCATAGCTAACATCTTTTAAGAAGCTTTGGTGAACAGCAACTAAGTTTGCAATTTTGTATTTTCAATACCTACTTTCAATACCTTTTATAGTGATTTTACAATTTTCTCTAGTTTCTTCATATATAAATATCTTACTATTTTTGTGAATTAGACAACTTCATGGGCTGGAGCAACAGCACAGAGGGTAGGGCATTTGCTTTGCACATGGCTGACGGTGTTGGATTCCTCCGTTCCTCTTGGAGAGCCTGGCAAACTACCGAGAGTATCCCACCCATACGGCAGAGCCTGGCAAGCTCCCCGTGGCATATTCAATATGCCAAAAACAGTAACAAGTCTCACAATGGAGACATTAGTGGTGCCCGCTCGATGGATGAATAATGGAGGACAGTGCTACAGTGATACAGACAACTTCATACACAAGGTTTCTATACTTTTCTATAACCACAAAGTACAATATCATTCTAGGCAACATACATAGAAGGGCTTTTCTGTTGCTGTTGCTGTGGTGTAGTACTCGGTGCCTAGCCCCACATCTGGTTGGATAGGATGCAGGGGTAGAGGGAGCAGGGACACATTCAGTACTACCTAGGACCACGAAGTACCACAGAACCCAGGAAGGGCTTAATACATGCAAGGCTTGTGCTCTATCACTGGTCGTAATACAAAAGTTTTTATCATGGTCAATTGCTATGACAGACAAGGGGGGGGAGGGGGGAAGAATGCTAGAATGCTATCTCCAGTCTTGGGAGATGGCTCAAAGGAGCAGAGTGCATACTTTGCATGGACAAGCCCTGTTTGATTCCCAGCACTAGATGGTCTGTCAAGTACCACCAGGAATGCTGTTCCTTCCACCAAATATAATGTTATTTCCAAAGGAACAGATTTTCTCAACTACAATTTTTGTATTTAAACGACTTGTTTCAAATGGCCATTTAAAGACCTTCTGATGAGTCAAGAATGTGGCTCAGGTGGCAGACCACAAGTCTTGCATGAGGATGCCCTGAGTATAATCATTGACTCTGGGATCGCAACAACCCGTCCCCAACAGTGTAAAAGGAAAATCCTCATACAACTGCATAACAACAGGCAACATACAGGAATAAAGAAACCCCAGCATAAGGGATAATTTTCTTTGGTTTGTTAACTGATAGAATTTATTTTATTTTTACTGATATTCATATTTACGGATTACTATCACTGTCCTCCCGTTGTTCATCGATTTGCTTGAGTGGGTCCAGTAACGTCTCCACTGTGAGACTTATTACTGTGTTTGGCATATCCAATACGTCACAGGTAGCTTGCCAGGCTTTGCCATGTAGGCGAGATGCTCTCGGTAGCTTGCCGGGTTCTTTGAGAGGGGCGGAGGAATCGAACCTGGTTTGGTCGGGTCGGCCACGTGCAAGGCAAACACCCTATTGCTATGCTATCGCTCCAGCCCATATTTATATTTAACTGATACGTTGTTCAGCTTTTTATTTTGATTCTTTTCATTTTGAGGTGATACACAGTGATAACGAGCACTGAACCAGGACTGGCTATGTAATAGGAAAAGTTAGTCCAGGTACTCTCTCTCCTACTTTGTTAGCATACTTTACATAGTAAATGCACTGCAGTACTGTGATAGCAGGATATTTTCAAGTCTTTTTGTTATTTGTCTGAAATAATTCCTAAAAACTAACCTAACATCAGTAGTAAATACAGAACAACAACAACAAAAAAATCATAAAGGTGGAGAAGACCCACAAGACACATTAAATGAAGTGGACATTATAAAAACTGGATTATAATAACATAACACTGGTTTATGATTTCCTTAAAACAGCTTATAATTTAGAGAGCATCTATTTCATGACAGCATTTAGGAAATTTTTTTTACTTTCCAACAAACAGAAGAGAAACAGCTCAATTCAAAGTGACTCTATGAGAAGCATCATCTAACAATGGCAAAGCAAACACAATGCAGTTGCCAGAAAAACACACACCTTCAATGTGTTCACGTATGAAAGGGTCATCCATGATGTTGCTGTGATTTGTTTTTAGAATTTTTTCAAATTCAGTGATGTCATTATTCTGATAGGCACTATAAGAAAAAGAAAAGTATACATTTGTTAGATATAGAAGATAGGTGGCAAATGAGATGATTAATTTCACAAAGTCTTTTTCTCAATTTTCATATACAAAAACTTAATCATAGATTGTGTCAGAGAAATTGTAGATAAACACAACCTTCTGCAAATAAAATAATTTTCTTTTTAATGTTTTTGGTCTTGTAAGGGAAGATCAAATCTTTTCAGGGAGTTAAAAGTTTACACACTGCTAATTACAACCTCAAAGCCCTAGCATTTTAAGAATTGACAATAGTTTAATAACTTGATGTTTGCTATTTAAATTGTGTATTTAATCCTAAAAAAAAAAAAAACCCCACGGGTTTTATGTCACCTGCAGACTTTCAAATACAATAGTGTACCTTCTCTCAAGGTTATTTATATATGTAGCTTCTTAACTTTTACCAGCAACTGCCAAGACTTTTCACAGAAGTAGCTGAGTCTCAATTCTCTCTTAGTCATGAAATTCCACTGAACTAAGCAGAAACTATAGTGGAAGACAACCAAAGGGGAAAAACACACAAAGAATGAAGGACCCTGCTGCAGAAGGCCAAAGGCTGATATATGTTGATGATTCTGAGTTTAGTATCTACTTTTGAAAAAATGCTTTCAGAGACTATGCGAATTGCTAAGGTGCTGAGAAGGAAGAAGCCAACCTTCTGGATATGGCACCACTGTCTGCTTTATATGTAAGACATATCATCAGCCATTCTGAACGCCCTCTGCTGTGCTTCCATCTGTTGGGCCGCAATGTAACTTCATGTTAGGGGCAGCTGATTCATGTGCTTCAACAGGAATCAGTTTCCTCTAGTCTGCTGCAACTGACTAGGAAGATAAAATTGGGAAGTGTTACATTCTTACCTATCCCAAATACATTATTATAATATACTATAGGGGGACAAATTCAAGTACTGAGAACATTTGTACACCTATCTATTTTAACCAAGAAAAACTTTTCCTGGGCTGAAGAGGACGATTGCATTGCAAACAGCCAACCGGGGCTCGATTCCTGGGATTCCATACCTACCAAGGTATGGTATGTGCCTACCCAAGCAGAGTCCCCAGCAGCTGCTTGGCTTCCACAATCCAAAATTGCCACCATACCCCTGGCCTGACTCCACCATCTCAGAATGAACCTCCCCAAGATATAATCTGCTGAAAATTCAGGTATGCAGTTTTTGTGACTGAAATCTCCAGGCTTTCAGAGTTGGGGTGGGTTACCTTCCCCCACTTCCCAATACACATGGAAGCACAGGCAGTCACCTCCATGAATCAACTTCAGCGTCACCCTGTAAACTCTATTACTGGTCTCGCTGTAGAGACCCATAAATAAATCTCGAAAGAGATGAAAAGCCAGAGACACAGCAATGAGTCCCGGAAGACACCACAGAATCAGAGATCTCTCCAGGCCCCATACTGAGCCAATTTCACAGCGGCACTTCAGATGGAGCAGGTATACTCTCCCCGCCTACTCTAGATGGAAACCCGGCAACCAAGAGCTTCCACAAGCAAGGTCCACATATGTGGGTTCCAGGACAAAATTTCCATGCCACATGGCGGCAGAGGTGCTGAGCTGTCCCTCCCTTGCTCCCTACCCACTTGTCAGCCTGGCTGTCACACCCACAATGTGCCTCCAGGTGCCATTTTAGTGCACCGACAGCCCTGGTCCAGAGACACAGCAGGGAATCCCGGAAGACACCACAGAGCTGGAAATCTCTCCAGGCCCCATACTGAGTCAATTTCACTGGGTCACTCCAGATGGAGCAGGTACAATCTCCCCACCTACTGCAGATGGAATCCCCGCAATCAAAAGCTTCCACAAGCAAGGCCCAGGTATGCAGGTTCCAGGATTAAATATCCATGCCGCATGGCAGCAGAGGAGCTGGGCTGTCTCTCTCCAGCTCCTCACCTGCTCGTCAACCTGCCTGTCACATCCACAATGTGCCTCCGGGCGCCACCCTAGCACACCAACAGCCCTGGTCCAGAAATGCCCAACTGAACTCCAAAATGGATTAGTGCCCTGCAGAAATGCCTCTGGAACCCAACAATCTACAATCTAGGATTCCAGAAGCGTGTGGCAGTGGCACCCATGATATTTAAAATGAGCAAGGGACAATAGATGATCTAGCATCTGCCCCTGGCAGGCTGGCTTAAATGGTGGTAGAAACATTTGAGCAAGACATAACGCCCAAAAGAAGAGAGTACTGAGGAAACTGTCTGCCATGGAGGCAGGGCGAGGTCTGGGACGAGGGGGGTGATATACTGGGGACACTAATGGTGGAAAGTGTGCACTAGTGGAAGTATGGGTGTTTGATCATTGTACAGCTGAATCTTGAACATGAAAGTTTTGTAACTTTATCTCACGGTGATTCAATTAAAAAAAAGTAATGTGGAGTTCATTCCCAATTCAATCAGCTTAATCAATGGCTGAATAAACAGCAGTACTCCTACATTTATAAAATAAATGAATGAATGAATGAATAAGTCTTGTACAAGTATGGAACAATTATTTGGGTCAAAATTTACAATAGTAAGTCCAAGTTAAAAGACACATATTTCACTAGAAATATTGATATAAATACAACCAATATCTTAAAAACTAATCAGTTCTTTCACTCACTTTTTATGTATTTAAAATTTTTTGAAAGTTGTTTTATTTTGAGCCACATCTGCTGGTGTTCAGGGGACAATGCAATATCAGGGATTACACTGGGCCTTCTGCATAAATTTAGTCTATTGAGCTATCTCTAAGGCCCCATCTACTTAAACATTTTAATTCAGACAAGAGATTAATATCTACAGTAAAAATTTCCCTCAATATTTTTTAAGAGTTTTAAAAGATCTTAAAATTATCTTTAAAAAGTATTAGCTAATCAAATTAATTCGACATCTCTTATATGGCTAAATGCAGGAGGGATGAACTAAGATGAAGAAATCAACTTCTACAATTACCATCAACTTAATTCAAATTAAAGTAAACTAAAGAAGTAAAGAGATTTCTTAGTATATCAATTTAGGGTTTTTAACACCCTAACTATTCCTAGTACCCATAAAATAAATTGATATTAATTTTTTTTGGTGGTGGAGGGTTGGGCCACTCTTAGCAGTGCTCAGAGGGTTCTCCTGGCTCTATATTCAGGTGGGGGTCCACTCCCAATGATGGTCACAGAGCCATACAGTGCCAAAAATCAAATCCTGGGTTCTTGCAAGTAGAGTTAACACATCAGTCATTAAAGTGATATTTAAAATTACAGTTTCAAAAAATAAATCACAGCAACATAAAAGTACAGCCATAGGGGCTGGAGAGAGAGCACAGCGGGTAGGGCATTTGCCTTGCACACGGCTGACCCGGGTTCGATTCCCAGCATTCCATATGGTCCGCTGAGTACCGCCAGGAGTAACTCCTGAGTGCAGAGCCAGGAGTAACCCCTGTGCACCCTCAGGTGTGACCCAAAAAGCAAAAAAAAAAAAAAGTACAGCCATATTAAAAAAAAAGTAAATGAGGATATTTTATACAGGATAATATTATACAATAAGCTATTTTCTCCAATTATTTAAGTCTATATGTAAATGATTCAATTTATAATCTTACAGCACCTGATTTTGAATAAATAAAAATTTTTGTACTAGGGATTTTTTTCAAATCTAGGGTCCCATACATGTAAAGTATGTGCTCTATTATTGAATTACATGTGCTTAACAGTCCCTTTTAAAATCATCTATACAGATCCACCAAGATCTACTTTATGCATGTTAACTATACTGTCAAGATAAACTCAACTGTACAATCTGAAACAAAGGACTTAAAGAAACCTAATGTTTCCTATACTTTTCTACAAAGAAAGCACATTGAAGCTTAAGACTCCATTTATCCCTGGTTTAGAGGAGAAATTTTCTTGCTCATTGATTTTTGCTATTTGTTGCTTTTATTGCTGTTGTTTGTTTTGGGCAAGGCTCAGGAATTATTCCTGGCTAATCCTCAGTAATACCTGGCTACTCAGGAATTACACCTGCATTGATAAGGGGAACCTGGGTAGACTGCATGCAAAGCAAATACCCTATCCAATGTACTGCCGCTTGGGCCCTATTTACTGATTTTTAGTTTTTAGGAAAATAGGCCTCCTTTCCTATGGTGTAGTTTTCCAAAACTGAAAAAATATATCTATATATCTGAACACACTTCTTCCTTCCTTTCACTGTCATGATTACCCCAATGATTATGGGTTATAACACTCTTGCTGCAGGACTTGCCTACTTTTGCTCACACACTAGCAGTGCTTCCCCGGGTGGGGGTGGGGGGGTACATACTGTTAGTTGTGATATTAACACACATCTACCTGGGCATGTGGGGTATTGTTAAGGATCAAATGCTCCATTTCACTGATCTTAGGTAGCTCTCATAAGCTATTTTCAGGTCTGACTGTTTGGTTTTACCAATTAAAATTATGTGTGGTTAATATTATAGGTTTTCCAGTTACATATTTCTCTACAGAAGCCACTAGTACGTCTTTGTTATTTTTCAAAATTATGACTCCACTGGTACTCCCAGAAAATTACCTGAGTTAAGGCTTCTTTTATTCCGGGGAACAATACACTTGAATTGAACCAGAGTAGGCTGCATATATACGGCATATGCCTTAACCCCTGTAATATCTCTCTGGACTTTTTATTACTTTTTTTAATAAAAAGTTTTATTCCCCAGAGGCAAAATGATATAAATTCTTTAAAAACATCTAAAGTTTTCTGCAGAAAAATATTTACATATAAACTTCAAATAAGCAGTATTCACTAATAAACTACATGATAAATTATTCAAAGATGAAGATTTTAGAAACCTATACATTTTAAATCAAAATATGAAAAAGAAAATACTGAGTAGTATCTGAATTCCGAAAAATTCTTTCCTCGCCTTTTGATAACTGTTTAAAGGAGATTTACCTTTAATGAAATATAAAACCTTACCTTACACTGGTGAAAGGATGGGTGTTAAAACATTATATAACGGAAACCCAATCATGAACAACCTTGTAACTGTGCATCTCACTGTGACTCAATAAAAAATAAATAACCAACCTTACCTTACTAAATTTGTCATTGCTAAAATTTCTGGATCATTTTTGTACGGCTTGGCCTAAATACAATAAAAAAGAAGTTAACTGTGTTTATGTATACAAAAAAGAAAGGCACTATCACAAAAGAAGCTGACAAAAAATTACTATAACACATACATACCTCCTGTGAGTCAAAAGGATTTATTCCAGATTTCATTAACATATTTGCTAAGACCAAATATTTTAAGCAAGTGGTTCGTCGTGGACTTCCAGACTCATCATAATTCTTGAAGGCTTCAAAAAAATCAGTGTGTGCCTTTTCAAATTCACCTTCTCTCAAGTGCATTTTACCACCACATTCTATAAAGAATAAAACATGAATAAATAAGGATGTTGCAAGTTCAGCAATAAGATATGTTAATAACCTGTAGGCTTATAATTCTATAAGCTAAACAGTACTAGTCACTGAGTACATAGTTTCTAAAAAATTAAGCTTTTCATTAACAAATGCTAAAAAAGCATTTACAAATGTTCATTCTCAGTTGAAGCAGAAACTAATTTTAAGTGTACCCTTACAATTCAAGAACAGAATTCTGATAATTTTTCAATTAATGTTTTCTCTATAGATACATATTTGTAAGTTAAAAATTTAATTTCTTTCTTAGTGTAGGTCACTGAATTGATTTTAGAACCCTGTCATTAATTTTCACTAGAACAGAAACAAACTGTAGACTCACTAAGGCAATAGTCTGAGGTCTCCCCAACTTACAACTAACAATAGTCTGAGGTCTCCCCATCACTGCCCACCCACTCCACACCGAACTTGCCTCTAATGACTCCCATGATTAGTGGATGAGGAATGGCAGACTTGATGTGAAGTGACTGTTCATAGAGTGCTTTAAGTTTTTTGTTATTTTTCTGTGCTGTGTACATCTGAATTTCCAAAGCATATATTTCTAGTAACTGTGTACCTTTTTTCAGATCATCTTCTCCATCATCAGTCTACAAAAGCAAGTAATGAATTTTAATAGAAACAATTCAAAGTCAACTAAGTAATTTTTGTTTCAAGTGAGCCTAAAAACCTTGTATTTAATATACTGTTTGAAAAATGCACCACACATTTTAACTGGGAACCAGCGTACTAAGAATATCACCTTTAATGGACAAAAAGGATCCTTTCTAGTTTTCAGATAAGGAAGTGACCAGGGGTAATATTTGTTTCTAGGTTCTGTCTGGAATTGCTCGAAGATTTTGCTTCAATGGTGCAACGGGGACAATTTGGTAACAGAAATCAAAAAGAGGGCCTCCAACATAAGCTACACCCCTGGCCCAGGAGATATGTATAACTTATAATACTGTCTTTAAATGTATTTTAGTTTTAGGAACCACTGTTTACAATACTGTTAATAATAAGGTTTTTAACTCTTAAGGATCAGAGAGATGGCTCCCAGGGCAAGTGAACATGCTCTATATGCAGGAGCCCAGGGTCAGATCCCTGAATATGCGCGGACCCCAAACAATGACCAGGAGCTACCCCCAAGCACTGTACCCAGAATAGCCTTCAAGCACTGATGGCTGTAGCAAAAAATGGGAGAAGGAAAGAGTGGATAGGGTGAAGAAGAGAGGGAGAGAGACTCACCCTCTTGGGGGTGTCAAAGGGAAAAACAAAGGCAATGACATGAATCTGACTCTGAAAGATGAACAGCAGCCCCAAGTATAGGCCATTAAAAACAGCCTATGGGGCCGGAGAGTGCAAAGGAGTTAAGGTCAGTATGCAGCTGGTAGGTTCTAATCCTAGGACTGCATCCCTTGAACACTACCATAAGTGGCCCTTGAGTACAGAGCTAGGGGTGTGTGCTCAGTGGCAAGTGCAGGCACTACCACTCCTTTCAATCCTTGGCACTGCAAAATAACAAATAAATAAATAAATAAAAAACAGCATAAAGTCCAAGTAATCATATATAAAATGTTGACAAACATAAAACTGAAAGTTACTTATTAAGTTTTGGGGTATACCCAGTGGTACTCAGGTCATACTACTCCCGGCTCTGCGCTCAGGGGTTACCCCTGGAGGAGCTCAGGGTACCCTATGTGGTGCTGGTGATTGAACCCAGGTCAGTCACTTGCGAGGCAAGCACCTTACCCACTATACTATCTCTCCAGTCCCTACAGTTATTTATAAGATCTCCAAATCAAACTTTTATTCACTAATGAATCATAATTAGAATAAAAGTTATGATATGCAGGACAACTTACATATCTAAATTATTATCACATATCTCTGCTATATGATAATGCTACTAAACATTTTCTTTATGTTCCAAAATAAACCAAGCAAGTTTTTTCTAGAAGACTTCTCCCATTTTATTATTTATTCACTAAAAGATGTCCACTCAGAAATGGCATTTCTGAGTGACCATTTTTACTTCACATGGAACTGAACTCATTTATATATTTATTAGATTATACTTCAGAACATGTAAAGATCCCATTTATAAGTGATACTATTTAAAAAGATAAATTATGAAGAACCTGTTCTTAAAAACAAAAGGATAGACCTATTAAATGAAAACAAGTTATTTATAACACTTTCTGTGCTCCTTTCCCTCACAGTATTAAATAGTACATAATAATGAAAGAGCTTAAAATTCTTCAAACTGCACATGTGTGCCTGCAAGCACACCGAAAACACACACAGACAATCCCATACCCAGCAATGTTTAGGGGCTATTCTCAGCTCATTCTAAGGAGTTGCTTGGAAGACCATATACAGTGCCAGGGACCAATCCCTGGCAGGCACATGCAAAGTTACCATCTTAGCCCCATTTTCTCTGGCCCCTAAAATAGTATTTTTACATTACATTTAAACCAGTATTAAGGCGAACGCCCTACCCGCTGTGCTATCGCGCCAGCCATTACATAAATAACTTATCAAAACATAAAAGACAATGCAAAATTACAATTCCACTTAAAAGTCAGAGATACATTGTGCAGACCACGTGGCTATTTAAATTTGGGGAAAAAAACTTCATATTTGACAATTTTAAATATCTGATGTAACTAGGGCTACCACAATAAGTACCACAGGCAGCTTCCACTGTTACATGAAATTCTACTAGACAGTGCTATCATAGATGAGTCACAATATAAACAATAATATATAGTATTTTTATTACACATTCCTATATCATCATTTTTCAATATGTCTGGGCAATAGCTCTAGACATAAAAGGTTTATTTTTAGTATTCACGACTGGCCTATTTGCTTATTTCATTAATATCTATACCTCATTCCTCAAAGGATTGAAATTAGGATCAAAACAAGAAGAAATGTAATATTCTGGGGAAAAAAACCCTAGCATTTTACACTTTATAGTCTCCAAATTTATTGTGGGGCTTGATGTTTAAAAAAATCAACAACAGGGGCTGGAGCAATAGCACAGTGGGTCGGGCATTTGCCTTGCATGCGGCCGATTCAGGTTCGATTCCCAGCATCCCAATCCCATATGATCCCCTGAGCACCGCCAGGAGTGATTCCTGAGTGCAGAGGTGCAGAGCTAGGAGTCAGCCCTGAGCATCGCCGGGTGTGACCCAAAAAGAAAAAAAAAAATCAAACTCTAATGTTTCAAGTACATTTTTTTCTTATCCTCTTATTAAGAAAAAATATTAGAAAAAAATGTAAAGGGCTGGAGAGATAGTAAAGGGTTTGTTAAGGCTGTTGCCTTGCACAAGACTGCCACTGCAGTTCCTTCTGCAGCACCATCTACGGTCCCCTGAGCCCTGCCACAGTGATCCCAGAGCACAGCCGTGAATAAGCCCTTAGCATCACTTGAGTGTGGCTAAACCAAAAAAAGGAAAGAAAAAGTTTTACCTGGCAGGACTGATGTAATTGGCGTAAAATTTTTTGAAGCTTTCCGTACTCCTCTCGTTCTAAATACAGTTTCCCAAGCTGTAAGAAAAAAATCATGATTAAAATTAAAATATTTTAAAAGGAGTAAAATCTTAGGAGTTTATTAAGGATATCAACTCACTCTTCAAAAGAAAAAAAATAACAAAATTATTACCTTTGTGTTTGTCTTAAACCACAGTCTATCATTCTTAGCATCTTTCAAAGCTTCCAGTGTTGTTTCATAGAATTCCTGCAGTAAATCCATCTGACATAAAAAATCAGAATTCTATAATTGTAAACAGCAAATTTGTACCTGTTAATAAAGTTAATTTGAGCAAACTAAAAGTGCATCTTTGAATTTTAAATACACATAAGATACCCTACCTTTACTTTATCAAATGCAACAGTCCACAAAATTAACAAAGCCTTTACAAAATACAGACCAAATTATAGTAAGCACCACAATCAATTTTAATGTGAACTTTAAATATAAACCCCAGAAAATATCTACGGCTCGTACAGTATAGGTTTGTCTTTTCCAATCCAACAATGCATTTTATATTAATGGAAGTACAGAGAACCAGATTAATTATTATTAAGTGTTTACCATATCCACACAACTCTTATTTGACAACTACCACATGGCAAACATTAAGCAACTACTTAAGAAACAAACAGGAGCCGGAGAGTAAGTACAGTAGAGGGCACTTGCCTTCCAAGTTATTTGATCCCCAGCACCACGTATGATCTCCTGACTCTGATGGGGTAGGAGTGATCCCTAAGCACAAAGTAAGGAGTAAGCCCTGAGCACCATGACCCCAACACCAAACAAAACAAGAAACAAATAGATTTCTTCCTCTAAAAAACCACTTTAATAAACACGATTAATCAAACTGCTAAAAATTGGGTGGAACCAAAGTATTTTAGCTGTGTATTAGACAGCAAAAGGAAAAGACAAACCCACACTATGAGATAATTTGCGCAAATTAGATAGCATCAATCCACCAATGTGTGACTTTTTTCCCATGGAAATCACTATTTTTTTGCTTTATAAGCCTCCTTGCCCAGACACTCCCCTTCTACTACTTCTGGTCCTACAGTTGTTTGAATTTCTCCTACTTTGGCTTTCTATTTAACAGAATCAAGAGGCATCTGGGTTATGAGAATAAGGAAGTTTACTATTTTTCAATAAAGACTGCCTATTAATTCATTACTCCTGTTGGCCCAGTAAATAAAAGCTGTCACCCACTATGTATTCTTACTTTCAAAAAACATAAATGCTAACATATAAAAGCATGCAGTAGTAACTTGTAACCTTTAAACTTAAACATTAATTCTAAATCCTTATCTCTACAGGTATATATCCGCATAGGTATCTTATTGGTATGCTATTTAAAATTAAAATAGTACACCAATGTTTCAATGACAGTTGTCTGTAAAACTCAGAAAACATGTTCCCCATTGAGAAAATGTTTTCTAATATTGCCCACATCTAGGTTTAGTACAATTAAAGACTAATGTAACAAAAGATGTTCCCTTCTATTTAATAAACTGCCCATTCAGTAGAATAGGTATGATGAAAGATACTGATTCTGAGAGAAACTGCTTTTCTTACAAGCACATCCAGCGGCCTAAGGAATATTAAATGAGAATACTATTTCTACCCTAATATCATAATGTAGAAGAGCTGAAACTTTGGACAATGCTGCTTAAGGGATATAAACAAAAAATGTTCTTTGTAATGAAAATGCTTTTCCTATTAACAAAAACTAAGACAAAGAGCACCATCACTGCCCATGCCCCGTGCAGTTTCCTCTTTATCGGTCCTCCATTCATCACCCACCATCCACCACTGTTGTAGAAACATTTACTGAACAAAGAGTAATGTCAATTATCTCTCTTCAAGAATCTTTATATTCTGATAAATCTACACAAATGACTTGTGATTGTATTTGGCATTCAAGGATGGATAGATGAAATAGTGATGAGTTTATTAAAAGGAACTGGGATAGTAACAATGGGAGATAAATCTGTAGAAGCCGTATGTGTAAATTATGTGAATATTGAAAGTTAAGAAAGAGCTAGAGTTATATTACCTTTTAATATTACAAAATACTATTTCCAAGAAAATATACAATATTCTAAAAACATACTAATAATCTAATAAGAATCATTAAACCTATTTTTTTTAAAAAAAGAACAGGGGCCGGAGTGATAGTACAGTGGGTAGGGTGTTTGCCTTGCTTGACCTGGCATCCCATATGGTACCCCAAGCACCACCAGGAGTAATTCCTGTGTGTAGAGCCAGGAGTAACCCCTGAGCATCGCTGGATGTGACCCACGAAGAAAAAAAAAAACAAAAATTGAAAATTGAACAAAGCCCTTAATATAAACAAACACTTGAGAAGGACCAAGGTGGGGGGGGGGAGGGCAGGGAAGGGAGAAATAGAATCTTATCTAACCTGCTTAGAAGTGGAGATATAATCGAGTATAGAATTAATGGACTTTTCTGAATAATTTCTTGTGACTGCACTCCGAATATAGGTCAATAGTTGCTTATATCTGTTCATCATTTCTGGAAAGTTTGTCTGAGGGAAGAAAAAATACATTATTAGAATTGTTATTTATGTACAGACATACGTAAATGAGTATGATTATAGTACATTTACTACTTAACCAAAAGGAAACATAACATTGTAATAGAATAAATATACATGAAAAATATAATTCTATCTTAAATTTGAAATAAATTACTCACATTGTATTAGCCAAATTAAGTTAGCATGTAAAAAGGCTAATTTGCAGACTTCCAAATTTCAAATACCCAAAGATATTTAAATCGAAAAAAAAAAAACCCACTAAAATATTCATAGACGGAAAAATAGGAATTCAACTTTTCAAATGCTTTGGACAGCAGCTAAACAGATCTCATTTCACTCCTTCATTGGGAAGCTTTCTAACAATAATTACACATATCTTTTCTCCTGTTAGTGGCCACAGCTAATGCTGCTCTTCTTTGCAGGACTATTTATACTAGGGTAGTTATTCCAGGAAACAGAAAGATCTGAGAAAAAAAGAACTACTTAAGGGTGAAATTGACCACACTTAGGTACTGAATGGAGCATCTAATCCAAGTGATAGTGTAAAAGTAAATTTAGAAATCTAAAACTTCAGTATTGCATCCACAATTTTTACAATCTCTAATTGCTTTTATTTTCTCTATTTTACTCGGTTCTACCCTACTTTTAATCAGGAAAATGCAGGATTGGAAGACTATTCTTTTTTCTTGATTAATACAGAAACATGTTTGTTAGGGTGAATAATGAACCAGTAATATTTAGCCCTTATAATAAAAACAGTTGCAGGAGTAGGTAGGAAAGGAAAGGAACAGAATAAGCAGTCAGAGATAATATGGGGGTTAAGTCCACTTGTCTTAAATGTAGGCAACCCCAATCTGATCTCCACTACTCCAAGCACCCCCAGGAAATGAACCCTGAGCGCAACACCAAGAGTAGTACAAGCACCTCTGGATATGGCCCAAGCCTCACGTGTGAGCATACTCCCCTACCCCCAACTCCACCGGAGAGAAAAATTAAATGCTTTATCAGCACATATCAAACTACTTTTGTTTCCAAGTATACCTATACCAAGTGGGGGGTAAATATAATAGGTAATATCTTACCAGTGAGCTACTAAAGCCCAAGCTAACAAAAACATCTCATGGGGGAAAGGTAACCAGTAATATGACTGTCCTAAACTTGAGATTCTATCTTGATACTAAAAAAGCAATTTAGCAAAAAGTGTATTTGCAGAAAGTCTGATTAATTTCCTTATGCTATGTAAATCTAACTTTTCAAAGACTTTACTATCACTTAAGGTCTTGAAAAGATTTGAAAAATATATGTAGGTTTTAACTGTCATGAAATGCATAGTAGTTCTTAATAAATCCTTCTGCATTTACTGTCAGGAGGGTTTCCTTAAACCATTTCCACAGGCGGGGGTGGGGAGGGAGGGTGTTGAAGAGATAACACAGTGGGACAGGCACCTGCCTTAGAGGACCCGAGTCTGATCCCCAGCATCCCATATGGTCCCCCAAACACTGCTCTACCAACACGGGTCCAATTCTGAATCCAAATGAAAACTGAGGTGGGCAAGGAGGATAGAAACTGAACTGCCCTTAATGATCCATGATTTATTCAGATGTTACTGGAACAAAAAGGTAGAGAATAATATAAACAGTAATAATATAAAATATAAATTATATTTTCCTTTTCTTGCTTCCCATTATGGCTTAAGGTAAAATAGTAAAATTAAATTTTATGAGAAGTGTATGTTTAAATGCTCTTAGAAATTAGAACCATTATTTATTTATTTATAAAAGGGCAGATTTCCACTGGGTATAGTCTATAGCACAGTGGAAGGGTTTCTGCCTTGCAAGCAGCCAGCCCGGCCAACCCGGGTTCAATTCCTGCACCCCTCTTCGAGAGCCCGGCAAGCTACCGAGAGTATCCTGCCCTCACAGCAAAGCCTGGTATTCGTGACTTATTAGATAAATACCCGTGATGTATTCGATATGCCAAATACAGTAACAACAAGTCTCACAATGGAGATGTTACTAGACCCGCTCAAGTAGATCAACGAACAACGGGAGGACAGTGATACAGTGCTATTGGTATTACCAGTCTTTTTTTTAAACTTTGGTTTGGGGCTTGCACCCACGAGTGCTGCTTGGGGATAGAACCCAGGGCTCATGTATGTCCACCTGCACTCTGGCCTTTTGTGCCATCTCCCGAGTCCTATTATCAGAGTCTTAAGTGTTGAGCGCTGAGTCCCTAATATTACCCAGTTTAATCAAAAGTTCCTATAGACAACTATGTTTTCTCATAGCCCTCTGCATTATTAATCTAGCTATAGAGAGTATGTATCCAATTCCTTCCTTGCTTTCTTTTTGGTTTGGGGGCCATACCAGGTGGTACTCAGGGATTACAACTGGCTCTGAGCTCAGAGATCACTCCTGGTAGGCTCAGGGTGCCAGGGATTGAACCCTGGTTGGCTGCATTCAAAGCAAGTGCCTTACCCACTGTACTACCACTTCAACTTCTCAATGATATTTTTCCTTCATAGTACATCAGATTCAGCTCAGAGCCTCCCATGTTCAAGGAATGTGCTATACTGCCGAGCCACATACCTGGCCCTACCTTCCTTCTCTCTCTCTCTCTCTCTCTCTCTCTCTCTCTCTCTCTCTCTCTCTCTCTTTCTTATTAGTGAATCACCGTGAGGTACAGTTACAGGCTTACAAACTTTTGTGCTTACGTCTCAGTCATACAATAATCGAGTACCCATCCCTCTACCAGTCCCCATTTTCCCCCACTAACGGTCCCAGCATCCTTCCCACCACCCCCACCCCGTCCCCTCCACCCTACCCCGCCTCTGTGGCAGGGCATTCCCTTTTGCTTTCTCTCTTTTAGGGTGTTGTGATTCGCTAAAGAGGTTAAGTTGGCCCTACTAGTGGTCTTAAGCTAATTTCATGTCTATGCCTAATTCTTTCAATTACTGTTTTCTGATGATTCCTTCACTTTTACCCTGCTGGAGGAAAGGGGAACAAACAATTCTAAGGGTTGGCCCTAATCAGTGGAAAAGAAGCTGCAATAAAAAGTAAGTTTTTGGATTTGGGGGGCCTGACAGTAAGTGAGGTGCTTGCCTTACATGAAGCAAACAGGGTTTAATCTCTGGCATCCACTGTGGTCCCCTGATCACTGCTAGGAGTAATTCCTGAATGCAGAGCCAGAAGTAAGCCCTAAGCATCACTGGTTGTGGGCCCCCAAACAAAAACAACAACAAAAAAATCTACACCAAAAGTAGATTTTCAAACTCAAAAAAATAACACTAATAGTTGAAGCAAAGTCACTCAATCATGCAGCCCAACACCATCCATAAAAAAGGAATACTTTCTTGATCAGAAAACTGCTATTTAAAAATTTTAACTGTGTGTTATTGTTGTTTTACATTACAAGAAAATTAGACTAAGTGTGAAAATATATCAATGAAGTATTCAGAGAGTTGGATACAATGCCACTTTGTTGCCATGACATCTGTACCTGCAGATTTTACTTCACTTCTAGTTTAATTCCATTGAAAACAAATCTTACCAACTTGAAGTTAATCTTAATCATTTGTTTCAGTGCTTTAAATCCCCATTCTCCTTTTTCACCTTCAAGTTCCAACACCTAAAAATAAGAACATTTTAGTCTAATTTAGTACTGTTCTTTTCCAACTAGACCCAACTAGACCAATGTCATTAAGAGTTAGTTTTGAATTAATTTTATATCACAAACATGAAAAACATTTTCAATACCTGTCTTGTAAGCAGGGGGTATTGATAAGTTCAATCCCTGATGACATGTAGTTTTGGCATTTCTGTGTTACCTTAGACCCCTACACCAAAAATGTGTAACCCCCAAAGCAATGTACAACAGGTGTGTATGAGTACTTTGGCCACGAGTAGGACCCCTTGTCATCAAAGCAACAGTAACAAAGGAAAAATAATCTTAAGTCTTAAAATGCTTTACTTAAAGATGCCTTCATTAAAGATTAAGTAAGTACTGGTTCTCAAGCTAGAGAGATGTCTCAAAGAGCTACCCATGTGCTTCTGACACAGGAGCCCAATTCCATCACCAGCACCACAGAGTCCTGAGCAAGGAGCTAGGAGGAGCTCCTGACAACAGTCAGGTATGGCTGAACACAAAAACAAACCAAAGATGAATGCATTCTTTTTTTTTTTTAAGATGAACTAATTCTTGATTATTATGCAGTCAGTCCTTGAACTACTTTTCCCATCTGAATAACTCAATGGTACAAATGCAAGAGGGTGTAAATAGTAAGAAATCACACTATTTAATAGTGAAACCATATGCTCCCCAAAAGGAACAAGGTGGCATATATAATACTTATAGCATCACAATGATTTGTACCAGAACTACATTAATTTGTTTGTTTTAGGATGTGATCCAGGTTCTTAAATGAAAAACTGGCTAGGCCTCAGGAAATACTTTCATATGCAAGCACAAGGAAAACCTACAAGATTACCATCAAGCATCTAAAATGGTTTGTTTTTTTTTTTTACGAAAATCACTTGGAACTTGACTTAAGACACAATTGATAAAAAAACTTAAGACAAAGAATCAAGAAAAAGAGAGAGAAGGAGAGAACCTTTTGGAAACTGCTCAATGCTGCTTTTGGGTCATCCTCTTTTAATGCTTTGGAATTATAGTACTGATTTTCCAAATCCACATTTGGCTCTGAATTACTGTCTTCAGAGTATTCCTGTATTGGAGAGAAGAGAGTTACATTTTTAATTTTTGGAAAGCAAAGAAACCCACATACTGATTGTAAAGAAAAAATTAAGATAGAAAACCTACACATAAGCAAAACAAAACCATTTCAATGAATACATGATATATAAACCATACTTTTATTAAATATGGGGGAGAAATAAAATTCAAAATCAAGGAACAGGGGGCTGGAGCAATAGTACAGCGGGTAGGGTGTTTGCCTTGCACGTGGCCAAACCGGGTTTTATTCCCGGCATCCCATAGGGTCCCCCAAGCACTGCCAGGGGTAATTCCTGAGTGCAGTGCCAGGAGTAACCCCTGAGCATCACCAGGTGTGACCCAAAAAGCAAAAAAACCAACAACAACAACAACAACAACAAACCCAAATATCCCCATAGAATCAACATAAACGCCTAGTACAAAAAACTATATTGGCAACCAGGGTAAACTGGAGGGGGGCGGGTCAGCCTGGTGCCCAACCAAACAGAGCCCCCGGCAGCTGCTTGCTTCCACAATCCAAAATCGCTGCCATGCCCCTGGCCTGACTCCATCATCTCAGGACAGACCTCACAGAGGCATAGTCTGAAATTTCTGGTATGCAGGTTTTGCAACTGAAATCTCCAGGCTTTCTTGGGGTTAGGATGGGCTACTCCACCTCCCTGTACTTCTGGAAGCCTGTGCAGTAAAATCCAAATCCCAAAGTGGCCACCCAATTAAAAAGCTACTCCAGCCTTACCATCCTGACAAAAGTACCAAACGCCCTGAACAAACATCATGACCTCTTAACACCTGTATTGCAAACTATAATGTACAAAAGGAAAAGGAGAGAGGGAGCAAGAAGGAAAGTGCCTTCCACAGAGGGAGATGGGGGTAGGGGTGTGTGGAGATGTTGGGGGATAATGGTAGGAAAACAGGGGAACTGGTGTTGGGAAATATACACTGGTGGAGGGATGGGTGCTGAATCACTGTATGACTGAAACCCAATTATGAACAGTTTTGTAATGGTCTATCTCATGGGTATTCAATTAAAAATTAAAAAAAATTATTTTATTTTATTTTTTTTTGCTTTTTGGGTCACACCCGGTGATGCACAGGGGTTACTCCTGGCACTGCACTCAGGAATTACCCTTGGCGGTGCTCAGGGGACCAAAAGGGATGCTGGGAATCGAACTCGAGTTGGACACATGCAAGACAAATGCCTTACCCGCTGTGCTATTGCTCCAGCCCCTAAAAAAATTTTTTTAAAAGCAGTAATATTCATGTCCAATTCAATCAGTTTAATCAATGGCAGAATAAATAGCAGTACTCCTACATTAAAAAAAATTGTATTGGTTAATGGCCCCTTAGTTCTATAGTGGTTAACCTTTTGATGGTTACAGAATCTAAAAAAAAAATCCTAAGAATGATAATCATTCCTCTTTAGTTCTACAATCTAATCTTCTCTGCAAGTTTTAAATCTCATTATTCTAACATGTTCTATTCAGGACGGAAATCTATATACAGAATAGTTTATGCTAAATACAATTATTTTAGTAAGAATATTTGTCTTATGAGCATTCCATGTTACTTAATAGCTATTTAGTTCTAGTAATGTTATTTAGCATTATAAAAAAATAATCAAAATAAATTAATATAACTGCATACATGCTTCATCACAAATTCAATTTTAGTACTAAAACAGTAAAGCAAAAAAGGAAACTGGAATGAAGTTAATTATTTTGTGGGGCAATGTAAATGAGCTTAAAAGAGTTACAGAATATTTAATGTCATGATTATAAATTATGCATATATTAGTATAAACTTACTATTTTAAGATAAATTATTTCTTCAGTTACTTGCATGTGGCCGACCCGGGTTTGACTCCTCTGCCCCTCTCGGAGAGCCCAGCAAGCTAAGCTACCGAGAGTATCTCGCCCGCACGGCAGAGCCTGGCAAGCTCCCCGTGACGTATTGGATATGCCAAAAACAGTAATAAGTCTCACTGGTGCCCCCTTGAGCAAATCGACGAACAATGGGAGGACAGCGCAGTGCAGTGTAGTGTAGTGCAGTGCAGTGCTACATGTCATTACAAGGTAAAATTCAACACAGAAAGATAAAAGCAATATTAGCTATTTCTACATCAAACTATAGTTAATCATCTTATCAGGAACAATAAATGTGAAATGTTCCAAAAGGGCACAATAATAAAAAGGTGAAAACTCAAAAATACACAAGCACAAGGTGAACTTTAACAATACATAAGCACGATTGTGAGAGTAAGTGGAAAGAGATGTTTGATAGAGTAAAACCTACCAGTTGTACCTGGGACTAGTGGCTTTGTGATGTGCGCCCCCTGCAGGACAATTTTTTCCTAGTAAAAAGGGCACGAAGCATTGTCATTCACGCTATTAAATTTAAGATTCAGGAATGTTTAACATATGAAAATCCCACTGTACATTTTCTTAAAGATGATATGAAATTCTACACGGTGAATAAACTTTAAAATTATTCATTACTTTTTTAGGGGAGGGCACAGCTAGCAGTGCTCAGGGATTACTCCTATGCTTGAGAGACTACATGCAACACCAGGGATTGAATCTGGGTCAGACTCCTGCAAGGCAAGAGCCTTACCCATTGTACTATCTCTCCTTAATCACTATCTTTTTCCTGTTTCGTTTTTTTGGGGAGGGTTGGGGGGGGCACACCACACTTGGCAGTGCTTTGGGAAGCCTGCAGTGTCAAAGGACCAAATGCAGGCTTTGTTGAGCTTTCTTCTCTGACCTGCATTTACTTTTAATCCTGTTACTCAGGATTACAATGAAGTGGATCAAATCTAAAAAGAACAAGCCAACTGTACATCAGACGATGCTGTGATAGTGATGACTTCTGAGTTAGGTTCTGACAAGGAAAAGAACAGAAAGCGCAGAAACCAGCATAAATAGGAGTTAACTAAAAACCTAAAAGTGGTCAAAGTGAAACATAAAAAGAAAAGGGTTGAGAAACACTGATCCATCTCCCAAGCTATTTTCCAGTCTCCAGAATTCTTTCCAGTTCTCTTTCCAATTCTCTTTTTAACTTTCAGATACCAATCTTCTCAGGGGCAGCAATGAGGATAATCTTCATAAAATATAAATTCTCATTCCTCATTTTAAAAATGCCTTCCTTTGTCTTAAAAATCGAAGTTTAAAAAAATCACCGAAAACAGCTTTGCCGGTGTTCAAGGCTGCCCTACACCGCTGAGATTCCAGTGTCACTGCTGTTGCTACCGCTGGTGCCACAAGTGGGTGATCTCCAGTGCCCTGCAACCAAGTATTCTAACCCTGGACATTGCAACAATGACAACAAAGGGAAAGAACATCATCAAACATCTGATTCCTTTCTATGCAACCAAAGTTACAGGTCCAGCCAAGCACTCTTCCTTATTCACTCTGGCAGCCACCCTGGTCATACACTGCAAGTGGCTAAGTTCTTTTACACCTTTAAATCCTTTTCCCTTCTCTTTTCACTACACTATGCAGTATCAGGAATGGAAAGTGAGGCTTCTGCATGCAAAACATGGGCTCCAATCCTTTGAGTTACCTTTCTGTTCCCTTGAGGGGAAGATTCAGAGTAAAGAAGCGGAACTGCAAAACCTATATTATACCTTTGGAAATCAGGTCTTCTCCAGTTAATTGTTCAATAACATTACAGGAATAGCTAGCTGAACCAGAAAATTGCTTTTTTTGTAACCTCAATCATTAGAATGAACCTCTGAAACTGAAAATAATTTTTTTTAACTTAGAGCTATCACGAAGTCTATGAATCTGAATGAACTCTCACACAAAATCCATTTATTAGAAAAGTGGGCAAGGATGAGAAAAGGGAAGTTTATAGATAAATATGACAGTAGGACAACAAAGGGGAAACTGTAAACAGTTATTTTAACAGTTCAAAAGGTTGTGCTGGAAAGACAGTACAGGGGTTAAGAACTTGTATTGCATCCCAACAACTTTGCTCTAAAACCTCAGCATCCTGAGCATCCTAAGGTTGCTTGGATGCTACGGGTGCTCCTGAGCACAGAGCCAGGAACAGTGCCTGAGTGCTGCTGGGTATGTTTCCAAAGCATCTTCCCCTGGAGTTAAAAAAATAAAAATTTTAAAAGGCTAATTTGGAAATTACTCAACTGATTATAGTATTATTAAAGACAAGAACCTTCATATTTCCTACTATGTTGAACAGTGATGATTCCCTCTTGCAGTACAAGACTGGCTACCTAAAAAGTTCTGGGACCTAACTGGTTCTAGATTAATAATTAATAATTATCTTCACTGTTACTGTCTTCCTGTTGTTCATCGTTTTGCTCGAGCGGGCCCAGTAACATCTCCATTGTGACACTTGTTACTGTGTTTGGCATATCACGGGTAGCTTGCCAGGCTTTGCCGTGCGGGTGAGATACTCTCTGTAGCTTGTGGGGCTCTCCGAGAGGGGCAGACAAATCAAACTCGGGTTGGCCCTGTCGGCTGCGTGCAAGGCAAACACCCTACCCGCTGTGCTATTGTTCCAGCCCTATAATTATCTTCAATTACAGCAGGTAGGGCGTTCGCCTTACACTCGGCCAACATGGCCGACCCGAGTTCGATTCCTCCGCCCCTCTCGGAGAGCCCGGCAAGCTACCGAGAGTATTCGATATGCCAGACACAGTAACAACAAAGTCTCCAATGGAGACGTTACTGGGCCCGCTCGAACAAATCGACGATCAACGGGAGGGCCTTTACCTTTATGAATTATAAGCAATTTTATTACATTTTAGATATTTTAACTCTCCCAGATCACAATGATGTGAGGTAAGAGTTAATCCAGTCCTAAGCATTTTGTGACCATATTCTTTGGGTTTTTCATAGTATATGAAGTATAGTAACTTGGATAACTGCAGTTCAAAGTGTTACTGCAGTACATGAGAACTGCCACAAGTAACTGGTTATTTTTTTTTTTATCACTAGGAATCCTTTGCTACGATCTGTAACACCATGTCCT